AAAGTTTGAGTTAATTCAACTGCTTGATTAAAGATTTTCTCATTTATGTGAAACTTCTCCAAAATGTACAACTAATTTAGCTTCTTGTTTTGATGCTAATAATTCTTTTCTTACTAATCTTATCCCATGGATTGATTCAATCAAAATCACTTTTTCAATTCCTTTTTTATACATCTTCTTGATTCATCTCCTCTAAACAATGCTTTTAATCTTGAACCGGAGTGTTTTGGTTTACAAAAGTTGATTGAATCTTGATTTCATATGTATCTATTGATGGCAACAATCAATAGATATTGAAGAGAAACACAAAAAGAATCAGAATAAGCCTTATGAGATTGTAATTGAATAACAAAAGTTGGAGTAATAGAAAACCTTTGATCTCTTCAACATCACCTGCCCTGTCTCTGAATAATCCAAAATCAATTTCCTTTCTCATCTCTTCTTTTTCTCTTTTAGTCATATTCCATCTCCAAATTGTTTGAATTCCAATCATGCTTGCTCTTAATCATTTATTTCTCATTTGATAATACACTCTCATGAAATTCTTTGACATTCAATTCCCTAGACTGTCATATGTTGATTCCTTTTGAATCCCTTCCATGCAGTTACTACCAATTGGGAAAGAGATTGGCATTTGATTTCCAAGTAAGTCTAATCTATACCATTGATCAGAAACAACATCAACACTCATGTCTTTATATATCCACATCTTCATCCATCCAGGCCCAAGGAAGGTGACTATTGACTATTGTGAATGCCAACCCAACTTGGTTAGGTTAGTACAGATGGGATTGATTGGAGGCAGTCCCAAAAGTTCAATTACTGCTTATTCAATCCGTCTTCTACAACTTTTTCATATGCTTTGAAAGCATTGTGGTGTGTGCTTAACACTGTTTTGTTTGGCCTTGGACATGTACACAGATGCTTGTAATGCACTGATGCTTCCAGCTTCAGCAGACTGGGTAAGTTGTATCAAGTCTTTTTTGTATTTTTTACCCTGTATAATTCAGAGTGTTTGATAGTCTTGGGAATGAAAGAACACTTGAAACCATGAACAAAAATGCAGCTGATGTTTGTATGCATCAGTCTTGTGAGTGGTTAATAACCTTCTTGGCTACCGTTGATGCATACAGAGCAATGACATGTATTGAAGGACAGTTTGCAATCAAAGCACTCAAACTCTCTTCAATTCAATAGCTGGCACAGCACTGCCCTAGAACCATATCTTGGACATGCTTCAAGTTCAGTGGTTTCAAACAAATTGAAATGTTCTGGGCACTAGGAGCGCGCTTCTAGATTTACATAGCCCTCTGACATCATGTCCGCTATTTTTTCTTAACCTTGTAGGTCATGGAGATGCTGTTTACCCCTCATCTTGTTCTTATAACCATAGTTGTTCAGAACTCCGTTCTTCCAACTTCTTTGATCATTTACATTAGATTCTCATCTTTGAGTTTCTTTTCCATTCTCCAATTCTTACAACAATTTGGTCCCACCCACCTCTGCCTGGTATATTTTTGTTTGGTCCACCCCATAGCAGACCTTTTTGTTACTTTGAGTTGGTTGCTCTGTAATCAGATCTCTATCCAGTTATAGCTATTTCTCTGTACATTGCATCCAGGGCTCTATGCTCCAATTTACGCTAAAATCACATCTGAGTTTAGCACAAATCACCCAAACTCCCAAACCTATTCTTTGACAGGCAAATGTCGAATTTTGTGCTCTTAACAAAGATTCCGCAGCTGACACACAGCTTGTTTAAACTTGCAGCCGACCTTATCCATAACATCCAGTGACCAATGTGTGACGAACTGTGTCCAAACTAACCCATGAGCTTTAGGACTGTGCTTCTACCGGAACAAGTCCACTTTACAAATCCTAGGAATCAACAATTTGAGACCACAAGGATCCCAGATCTTTTCATTGCCAAAACAGTCTCTCTCTCCCAGCTTTTCAAAAATACCCACCCACCCTCAAACAAAAAGACAAACATATGGTGGTTCCGCCAAAAATTGACAAAAACAGATAGTATCTCTCTACTGATGTAATATGTGTTTTCTCATTTTCCCTCTTCCTTTTTCCACTTAGTAACTTGCTATTTCTGTTATTTCTTTTATTGTTTCTTCCTTTTCCTGGCGATTTTTCCATCTCTCCTCAAAAAGGAAAAAAACATTATCAATTAAACTATCTACAAACACTTTCACCTTTTACTAACTCTCTACTACCATCATAATCCCCGGTACTTGATAATAATAGGTCCACACAAGCCCATATCTCTGTTAAAAATGATTGTTTCCTTGTGTACAAGTTCAAGTCATGTTTTCCTCTTCCTCCCCAAGGGGTGTTTTGTCTGCTTCAATGTCACCACGTGCCAGCCTTTGGCCAGGGCGCGGCTTTGCCCAGAAATTCAAGCAATCCCGCAGGGCTTGCACCTCCGAGAGAATACATGAGAGTGCCAAGACTGTCCATCAGAAGCGGAGGAAACACATCTCTTGCTTCCTGTGCTGATCTGTATGCAAGAACATCAAAAATATATCAAGTGATGTATACAATTGCTGTTCAACATTCTAAAGCTTCTAATCCCGTGATATTGCTTATGGATTATTCTGACTATCTATTCATATAGATTATTACTGGAAGATAAGAATTGAAGAACAATGGCAGATACATTAAATGATTGGGTTCTTCTTGAACAACACATCACCAATCTTATGGCACTAGATAAAAGAATTTCTTTCTTGAATTGGTAGCAGTTGTATTTTTATCCCATCACGTATCCCTCTTCAATCAGAATGAATACCAGTTCCACTCACATACAAAGTAAAACATTACATAGAGAATACACATTGTAGTTTGAAGTATTCTCATGCGAAGGTTATGTGGTGCAAATATCTTGAGCCAGGCTTCAAATTGAGTGTGAAATTCTAGACAGGATTCCTTCCCAAAAGTAGCCAGTGCTGATCCCTCACAGGCATTGTTGAGTGGCCACACATTGTAAGCTTCCGGGTATGTTCCACCAATCCAAGTCAATGATAATATCAACAGTGATAAGCCACATATAACAACACAGAATGATTTCAGGAGACCAAAAACCCCTAGGAAATATGATATAAGCGCTTGATTTGGTGAACAGCTTGAAGTGAAGAAGACTCACAACCCTGTTGGATTTTTTTGAGGAGGGTGTTGGTATTTTTGATGAGAAACCTGTATTCTCAGCTAAAGTAGAGGATAGAATTGTAAGATTCCTTGCAATGGATGGCTTATGGCTGTGGTACTCAAGGGACTTTCATCTATTGTCAGTATCAGAATTCTCTAGCCTGGCAACATTGAGGGTTGTTGTTTGATGTTCAAAGGGCTGTGGGATATGGCTGACATGATCATCCATGACTAAAAGTCTTGGTTGAGTTATGACATTCAGTGTTCAGAAGGTTAAGCCTGGAAATACGTAGTGGATCATTGGAACAGAGATAGTGAGGCAGAAACATATTATGGTCTGAGTTAAGTGTATGAACATACATGATTGTGGCTCCAGTTGTTGGTAAGTGGACCCCACCAATTTGATCTTTTTTTGTTTGTTGGACCAAAGAATGATTAACAGAAGACCTTTCAAGTCACTTTGTGTGCCCATTAGTTCAAGATCTTTTCGTTCAATCATGATGAGACTTCCCTTGGGATTGTTTGGGCAACCAACAAAGAATCAATGTCAAGTCCAGAGCTTCTCATTGGTTGTTGGAAGAAAGGTGTGCATATGTGATCCCATCTTGAATGGTTTCACTTCAAGGGGAAGAGAGGCCAAGTAAGATAATCACAAATAATGAGTCAAATAAGCTCAGCTATTGCCTTTCAATGGTATTTGAAGACCTCCCACTTTCAAGAAAATGACCCCCCACCGTCAAGAAATAGGGGAGCCAACAATGAATTACACACTCAACTTCCAATGGGTTCTGAAGGTGAAACCCTCATTCATTCAGATCTTGCTCAATGTATAAAGGCAATATCACTAGTGAGCATGATATATGATCTCTTTGATTTCCTTTCATGATGACTACGTAGACAGAAGCGCAAGCCAAGTGGAAGGTTGTTGAGCCTACTCAAGAGCATGACTCAGACATAGGCCTTACTTCATATTTCTGTTGGGGACGGCCTGATCTCTTCCTTTTCTGATGTATGACCTGAACAAAGGAACCAAGCAAGGTGTCTCCATCATTTCAAGTTCTCAGAACAGTCTATGAACTGCTCAATTACAATTTGCCTTTCCTCATTCCTAATTTCAGGACCACAACATCATTCCTGCTCCACTTCTCTACTATCCAAACTTTGTCTTCATCTCTACTATTATCCAAAAATTCAAGTGTAAAATGTTAACACAATCCAGAAAGCTACATATCCAAAGGAACAAGTGAGTTAAGAACTTCAAAACCCCATTTTTATTATTCTTCCTTTTTATTGACAGGTGATATTGTGATGTGGAAGGAGGTGGAAACCATTATTTAGATGCAGTCCAAGCTGGTTAATCAGCTAGCAGAAATGACTTCAGTGAATTTGCAGTTCTTAGACAACCAAGTCAACAGTATCATCACTGAACGTTCAAGTGTTATTGAGAATGAGTTGTGTGTTTATGTCAATGAGCAAATTGGAAGAAAGCTGTGTGACGTGGGTGTCCTCAACTTTTCCATAAATCTTTCTACACTGACCAAGCTCTCCTCCTGCCAAGTTCTAGAGCGAAGCAAGGCTAAAGTACCCTATGCAAAAGTCTGTACAAGATACTCACCTTAACATTGAGATGTTGATGAAACTTATTGAGAACGATATCATCACAATATTGGCCATTATTCATTCAGCACCTATGGAGCCACCTGGGCCTAAGGTTTTTAGCTGTTCTTTGTTTCTTCAAATGGCTGACACCAAGACTTAACTCATCAATCCTGTTTGCATAGCTCATGGATGGCTCTCAAGCTATGACCTGAGATGACAGTGAAATGGTATGTTGGTTAATCGAAATGTCACAAATACCTGCCTTTCTAAACCCAATTTTTTACTCAATTCAAGGAAAACTAGATGACTTCCAGGATACCGTGGATGAGCTTAGTGGAATGGTCCATGAATGCAAAGATAAGATACATGTGGTGAGTTGCTACCCCTTACAATCTTTTGGGTAATTCCAAAGCATTGATATCAATACCAGTATGAAAAGGATAGAGTCATTCTGCAAGACATATTTTGTGAAAATGATATCAGTGGAAGTGATGCATTGGATGCAAGAATCAAGCATGAGGTTGACAAACAGTTGGATGTTCTCATTGATGACTGGAGTAAAAAAGTAAGCTTCTATGCTCTCCTGTATCATTTGGGGACTCATGCAATGTATATTACTTTGAGTACATTGTTGATTTTTTCAACTTCTAGCTCACTAATTTCAAGAATTATTTGGCTTCAGGGAGGTGAGAGGATGTTGAGTGCACCAGCTTCTGAGTTTGAAACTGAACATCATACAACATTCATCTGTATGTAGCTCCAAGATGAAATTAAAGCTCTTCACACCCATATTTGTGAACACCTAGTGATCAAGAACAATCAAATGGGAGAATGTGTTGCAGTTGGAATTAAAAAAGCACGTAAGGATCTCAAAATCTCAGTTGAAAAGATCCTTGAGCATACCAAGGAATGTGAGAGCCTTGGCAATTGATAAATCGAATTGACACTGTCACCAGTGAATTGTTCCTCTTGTTTGCTTCTATATGTACTGTTTTTATCTTTCCTATGTATCACCAGATCCAGGGGTGAACCTGGGTGAAACTTTTTGTAAAACCCTCTGGCCTTCCGGAGGCATGTATCCTCATGATTCCATAGATACAATACCCTATAGGCCCATTAAGCTGCTTTATGCTCTAATTCCTCCTGTCCAGATTTTTACTTGATCATTAGACCTGTTAGAAATCTTCAACCTTATGATTCTCAAGGGTAAGCCCGTACTCTTAGGCTAACCTCTCACCACTCGAAGTCTGATCATTGATTCTATTGAGCTCATGGATCTTTCAGTTGGTTGTGATGCAGCAGTACATTGTGATTCAAGAAGGTAGTGTGAGATTTGGTCTTTGAGGATGAGAATGAAATATCACATACAAAAACTACAAACACAAATCACCTAGCTAGAAGAGGAATAAATTTAAATTCATAAATCCTCCTTCTGCAAGCAAAACGTCAGCATCCATGCCTAATCATCAACACCAAGGCCTTGCTTCACAAGTTGAATTTACAAGCTTACACCTAAGTATGATGCACCTCAGTTTAGGCCTTAAGAAATTAATTGAAATCATTGTCTGCCCCCAAGGTGTACATGGATTCAACACCAATCAACCCCAATGTGCTCCTCCTTTATACCACAATTACCCTCACGTATTCATTACTCACTCCCTGTGTTGGGCTATGTTTTCACCAATTTTTCATTCTTTTCCTTATTCAGCTTCAACACATCTCCATTTGGCTGCGTTCAGTTACATCTAAGTCCTCTACATACCTGGATCTGGAATTCCTTCATTGACTCTACTAACCACTCCATGGAGCCAACAACCATTTGTTGGTTTTACATTTCTATTCTCAGTTTCTCCTTATGCATACACTTCCTTACAGCCTTCCTTTCCCAACATTGACCATTCAGATAAACTGTCTATGATGATGCATGTTTACTTTCATTTTCATTTCACTTTCCACTCTCAACAATCGCTACCAACATGTGCATTTCCCAACAGTATATGGCACCTCATTTAATGCGCGTTCAAACTCATGCATTTCTATCGCGCTATGAAGTCAATCATTATTCTCAAGGTATACCCGTCCTCATGATCAATTTGAGACTCATTGAGTGTACTCCAATTCATTTACCTCTACCATTATGTCTAGCTCCACAAAGACATTGATTTGTGTTACTGCATATCAGCATATCTCATATTTTGTTGCTCCGTCTTCCTTTTCCAACTACATTGAAAAGTATCATTTTTTATTAACTCTGCACAGCTCAATTTATATTCTACTCATTCCTCTGCCTAACTTTCTACCTGCTCATTGATCCCAAAATATGCCAATTCTTGTTACTTTTCACTCGAACCCAATTTTTTATCAATACAGTCTTCCAATCATATGCTCTACCATATATTTCATATCATACCCTGTGCCTCTGCTCATTCCACATTACACTTCAAACATATTTTGCAATTCCGTAAGGGATTGTGATTTTTTTTGTCCAGAATTTTGATTACAACAAAATCAAAATTCCGTGACGGAATCACCAGTGGAAGGAATTGTGACAGAAATTTGGTTGAGTACAAAATGTGTACATGTGTGCTGGAATTATTGCAGAAGCATTATGATGCTGATGCTTTTTGCAATAAATGCAGAGTGTGCTTTGTTTGTATTACTTCAGACAAATGATGATGTGTCTGGGCTATCATCGGGCTATGTTGTCTTAGCAGCGGAACACTCACTTTCACCGGAGTTTTTCCAGATAGTAATGCTCAACTGTGTAACGGGGTAGAACTTCAACCCACATTATGTATTCTAACCCTCAATCTTTTAAGGTTGTGATAACAGAAGTTGAGTACAATAAAATGAGAGAAGTTTTTTCCGGGAAGAATGCGTCAAGATCTCAAGAATAACTCAGAAAGGGGAGGAGGGCGGTTTTCAATCAAAGGTTGGAAAGCACAGAGCTTTTGTAATAATCAAAGATAATATTGATAATATTCCAACAATAAAAGATGACCGGTGTTCCTGCCTAGTGGAGGAAAACCTTTATATCCTAAATGGAAACTACAATGTTTACGTAAATACATATAATGGTAGTTTACGAGTTTGTTGCGCGTTTACACATGTAAGGTTAGTCTCCTTGTCTCATTCCTGATACCACTCACCTTGCCAAGACATTGTGTCAATTTTACATCGTTCTTAGCGGATGTTTGACAGGGCTCCGCACTTTATGTTCCATCAAATGACATCCACTTCATTCACTTTCCCAACCATTTTCACTTGCACATGCATATATGTACGTCATGTTTTCAACCTTTCAGAATCACATATGCGTCTCGGAATGCTGGCCCAAATTTACTCCGGCATCCGGACTGGGTTACTGGACACTCCAATCATTTCACTTGGTAGCCACCACAATTTAAGCTGTGTTACGCTTTCAAGGCAATGTCTTGACATCTTCCAATGCTGTTGGATTTGTCGACTAGCTCAATGTGGAGCCTCCCACAATATCTCTGCTTGATGTATCATTATATTGCCATCACTCTGTTCCCAAACTTGCTCACCTGACTTTTGCTCATGAATTCTCTTGTATTGATGTCGACTGTTATATTGGAGACTGGCAACTCTTTACTTGCATTTGAAAAGGTCCATCATTTGCTCTGGGTTCAATGCTTTCTAGTTTATTCTGACTGTCACCTGGTATCCGGGATAAAGTCTGTACAGTGCCTCAAAGCAGATCAAGTGTTGGTTACAGACATCCAAATCACTCGCCAGGAGTCTGATGTATCCATGAAACAAGCAAAAGATGAAGCTCAGATTGAATCAACTGCTTGATTCCTCTGATCCATTACCATCTGCTGATATCTTCAAATACCTCTGGATCAGGTCACTGGCATTTGATATCTCCTTGCAATATTGGCCATTATTCATTCAGCACCTATGGAGCCACCTGGGCCTAAGGTTTTTAGCTGTTCTTTGTTTCTTCAAATGGCTGACACCAAGACTTAACTCATCAATCCTGTTTGCATAGCTCATGGATGGCTCTCAAGCTATGACCTGAGATGACAGTGAAATGGTATGTTGGTTAATCGAAATGTCACAAATACCTGCCTTTCTAAACCCAATTTTTTACTCAATTCAAGGAAAACTAGAGGACTTCCAGGATACCGTGGATGAGCTTAGTGGAATGGTCCATGAATGCAAAGATAAGATACATGTGGTGAGTTGCTACCCCTTACAATCTTTTGGGTAATTCCAAAGCATTGATATCAATACCAGTATGAAAAGGATAGAGTCATTCTGCAAGACATATTTTGTGAAAATGATATCAGTGGAAGTGATGCATTGGATGCAAGAATCAAGCATGAGGTTGACAAACAGTTGGATGTTCTCATTGATGACTGGAGTAAAAAAGTAAGCTTCTATGCTCTCCTGTATCATTTGGGGACTCATGCAATGTATATTACTTTGAGTACATTGTTGATTTTTTCAACTTCTAGCTCACTAATTTCAAGAATTATTTGGCTTCAGGGAGGTGAGAGGATGTTGAGTGCACCAGCTTCTGAGTTTGAAACTGAACATCATACAACATTCATCTGTATGTAGCTCCAAGATGAAATTAAAGCTCTTCACACCCATATTTGTGAACACCTAGTGATCAAGAACAATCAAATGGGAGAATGTGTTGCAGTTGGAATTAAAAAAGCACGTAAGGATCTCAAAATCTCAGTTGAAAAGATCCTTGAGCATACCAAGGAATGTGAGAGCCTTGGCAATTGATAAATCGAATTGACACTGTCACCAGTGAATTGTTCCTCTTGTTTGCTTCTATATGTACTGTTTTTATCTTTCCTATGTATCACCAGATCCAGGGGTGAACCTGGGTGAAACTTTTTGTAAAACCCTCTGGCCTTCCGGAGGCATGTATCTTCATGATTCCATAGATACAATACCCTATAGGCCCATTAAGCTGCTTTATGCTCTAATTCCTCCTGTCCAGATTTTTACTTGATCATTAGACCTGTTAGAAATCTTCAACCTTATGATTCTCAAGGGTAAGCCCGTACTCTTAGGCTAACCTCTCACCACTCGAAGTCTGATCATTGATTCTATTGAGCTCATGGATCTTTCAGTTGGTTGTGATGCAGCAGTACATTGTGATTCAAGAAGGTAGTGTGAGATTTGGTCTTTGAGGATGAGAATGAAATATCACATACAAAAACTACAAACACAAATCACCTAGCTAGAAGAGGAATAAATTTAAATTCATAAATCCTCCTTCTGCAAGCAAAACGTCAGCATCCATGCCTAATCATCAACACCAAGGCCTTGCTTCACAAGTTGAATTTACAAGCTTACACCTAAGTATGATGCACCTCAGTTTAGGCCTTAAGAAATTAATTGAAATCATTGTCTGCCCCCAAGGTGTACATGGATTCAACACCAATCAACCCCAATGTGCTCCTCCTTTATACCACAATTACCCTCACGTATTCATTACTCACTCCCTGTGTTGGGCTATGTTTTCACCAATTTTTCATTCTTTTCCTTATTCAGCTTCAACACATCTCCATTTGGCTGCGTTCAGTTACATCTAAGTCCTCTACATACCTGGATCTGGAATTCCTTCATTGACTCTACTAACCACTCCATGGAGCCAACAACCATTTGTTGGTTTTACATTTCTATTCTCAGTTTCTCCTTATGCATACACTTCCTTACAGCCTTCCTTTCCCAACATTGACCATTCAGATAAACTGTCTATGATTATGCATGTTTACTTTCATTTTCATTTCACTTTCCACTCTCAACAATTGCTACCAACATGTGCATTTCCCAACAGTATATGGCACCTCATTTAATGCGCGTTCAAACTCATGCATTTCTATCGCGCTATGAAGTCAATCATTATTCTCAAGGTATACCCGTCCTCATGATCAATTTGAGACTCATTGAGTGTACTCCAATTCATTTACCTCTACCATTATGTCTAGCTCCACAAAGACATTGATTTGTGTTACTGCATATCAGCATATCTCATATTTTGTTGCTCCGTCTTCCTTTTCCAACTACATTGAAAAGTATCATTTTTTATTAACTCTGCACAGCTCAATTTATATTCTACTCATTCCTCTGCCTAACTTTCTACCTGCCCATTGATCCCAAAATATGCCAATTCTTGTTACTTTTCACTCGAACCCAATTTTTTATCAATACAGTCTTCCAATCATATGCTCTACCATATATTTCATATCATACCCTGTGCCTCTGCTCATTCCACATTACACTTCAAACATATTTTGCAATTCCGTAAGGGATTGTGATTTTTTTTGTCCAGAATTTTGATTACAACAAAATCAAAATTCCGTGACGGAATCACCAGTGGAAGGAATTGTGACAGAAATTTGGTTGAGTACAAAATGTGTACATGCGTGCTGGAATTATTGCAGAAGCATTATGATGCTGATGCTTTTTGCAATAAATGCAGAGTGTGCTTTGTTTGTATTACTTCAGACAAATGATGATGTGTCTGGGCTATCATCGGGCTATGTTGTCTTAGCAGCGGAACACTCACTTTCACCGGAGTTTTTCCAGATAGTAATGCTCAACTGTGTAACGGGGTAGAACTTCAACCCACATTATGTATTCTAACCCTCAATCTTTTAAGGTTGTGATAACAGAAGTTGAGTACAATAAAATGAGAGAAGTTTTTTCCGGGAAGAATGCGTCAAGATCTCAAGAATAACTCAGAAAGGGGAGGAGGGCGGTTTTCAATCAAAGGTTGGAAAGCACAGAGCTTTTGTAATAATCAAAGATAATATTGATAATATTCCAACAATAAAAGATGACCGGTGTTCCTGCCTAGTGGAGGAAAACCTTTATATCCTAAATGGAAACTACAATGTTTACGTAAATACATATAATGGTAGTTTACGAGTTTGTTGCGCGTTTACACATGTAAGGTTAGTCTCCTTGTCTCATTCCTGATACCACTCACCTTGCCAAGACATTGTGTCAATTTTACATCGTTCTTAGCGGATGTTTGACAGGGCTCCGCACTTTATGTTCCATCAAATGACATCCACTTCATTCACTTTCCCAACCATTTTCACTTGCACATGCATATATGTACGTCATGTTTTCAACCTTTCAGAATCACATATGCGTCTCGGAATGCTGGCCCAAATTTACTCCGGCATCCGGACTGGGTTACTGGACACTCCAATCATTTCACTTGGTAGCCACCACAATTTAAGCTGTGTTACGCTTTCAAGGCAATGTCTTGACATCTTCCAATGCTGTTGGATTTGTCGACTAGCTCAAAGTGGAGCCTCCCACAATATCTCTGCTTGATGTATCATTATATTGCCATCACTCTGTTCCCAAACTTGCTCACCTGACTTTTGCTCATGAATTCTCTTGTATTGATGTCGACTGTTATATTGGAGACTGGCAACTCTTTACTTGCATTTGAAAAGGTCCATCATTTGCTCTGGGTTCAATGCTTTCTAGTTTATTCTGACTGTCACCTGGTATCCGGGATAAAGTCTGTACAGTGCCTCAAAGCAGATCAAGTGTTGGTTACAGACACTGCTCCTACATTTGAAGACATCCAAATCACTCGCCAGGAGTCTGATGTATCCATGAAACAAGCAAAAGATGAAGCTCAGATTGAATCAACTGCTTGATTCCTCTGATCCATTACCATCTGCTGATATCTTCAAATACCTCTGGATCAGGTCACTGGCATTTGATATCTCCTTGTCCAGATACACCTGAAGACCAGGTATTCAACTATTATCTATGATCATCTCGGGCTCACATTTGCACCTTGTGAAGGTTGTAAAGAGTTTTGCACTTGGACAAATTACCTGCCCTCATACAATTGCTGCTGGCGTTCATATTGAAGATATCTTATCTCATGGACTCCTTGATCCATTTCAACTTGAAGTGTTTGTAAAGCTTATGTCAGTAGGGATCCAGATCACGCTCAGCACGCTCTGACACACTATGATGACATTGTGGCTCAATTCTTTGATTGACAGGCGAAGTACAGATACTCGCCTCCTGTCCGGTGACTTGTTCCCCTTTTGTTAAGTAACCATCATACCAAGTTGAGTGATACTAGAAGGGTGAATCACTGAGCATTCCCAGAGTGTGCTCTCAATGTATTGAGACGCACAAAATGCTATCAGATTCTCCATCCCAGAGGACCATGGTTTGACACTCTGAGCCAATCAACATTTAAGCCCATCTGCTCACATCTGCTCAATCCGACAATAACCGGGTGATTTCAGTCAAGTGTGAGGTCCTAATTTGCTGATCATTCGCTATTGAGTTTATCTCACGCTGAGACTCAAACCCTAATTTTGAAACAGGATTGATACCCCTGCACAATATCTGGCCTGAGTTGCCCAAGCATTTACATTCATTCAAAAATCCCTTCAAAAAACAATCACTGAGATTGATGAGACACAATATATATGATAATTTTACTGCGGTGAAGAAGATAAGCTATTAATTGAAGACCTCAAAATCAAGAGAAGAAGAATTGATGATCAGGGAACAACACGATCTGTTGACAGAGATTTCAAACCTTCAGCGCCTTGGTAATTAGACTATTCTATCTTGAAACACTTCCAATTATTGAAATTCCTCATCCTATTCCTCACAAGAACTGAATATTGACATATTCTCATCTGTACTGCTACACAAGTCATCTTCTAAGAATGCAATGCCAATACGAACTTCATCAACAGCCTTCAACAGGTTCTCCACCTTCATGCTCTTCCATGTAGACTTCTCCATTTGAGACCAATCTATATATTCCAAAAGAGAAACTACATCAATACATATCATTTTGAAGTGCAAAAACTCTTTTCAGGTCAAATACTCACAATCTTCCCAAATTGAAATCACTGCTACCTCCTGGTCCAAACTCAATGTTTATGTAGCCTCAAACGTTCAAATACAACACCTATTCCAATTAATCTTGGGGTCAAACATTGAGGGTAAGTAGGGCAATGTAAAACCAGCTCTTCATTTGAAAAAGTTTCTAAAATTTAATGAAATGGTAAACTAGATTCAATTCTGGTGGTTCTGGTTAACTTTTTCAGTTCTTGATATCTCTTTTTTGATGGAGTTGAAAGAATCAATCAGGTTATACAAAAACCCAAATAATGGGCCAAGTTTGTGCTCTTGGCAGCATCACAAAGAAACAGGCATATCTTCTCTGATGCTGATTCAAATTTAGCTTGATGAAAATAATCTCTTTGGATAGCTAGAAAAAGATGTTCTTTTCTAAGAATCTAATGATCAAAGAGAGAGTGTTTTATCCATTTTGAGATTATCTTTGACAGAATTTAAACCAATATTATTGAAGATGAGATCACAGCATCATGGAAGAATGTAACTTCCCATTCAAGTTGATCAATAGAAGCATGATCAATGTCATCTAACAATAAATGTGCCTGTGCCAATTGCAATCTAAGACAAGTTTCAATTTCCCTAGACAGAAAACAACAACCAAAAGTTAGAACATATTCAATATATCATTAAGCAGGACAAAATAATTCATGAAACTCACGGTGGAGGTCCTTGAGTCAGACACTCAACCATACCAGTAATCCTTATAGCTTGAACTTCAAATTTATAAAACAATTGAAGAGAAAGGTAAGTAAACCGAAATGCAAAATTCTCAATAAAGGTCTTTTCAACTTCTTCCGGAATATGATCCAAAGAATTTTCAAGAAGTACTGCATAACCCCTTAAATTACCTAAAGTAATTTGATGTGATTGATTTGATGAAGTGTCTCTATTCATTAATTTTTCCAACTAATCATCAAGATTGATTGGTTTTCAATCATTTTCTTCTTCTTGTTTGTTGATGCTGTTTGGTTTGATGAATGATTTTGGTTTCAGTAATGATTCAAGTTGAATTGATAATCTGTTTCCTTCTTCTCCACATTTTCCTAAAAATTTGATTGACCAATCCAATCCTCATGGTTTTAGTTTATCTTGAAATTGTTCTGTCATTCTTGAATGGATTTGTTTCTTGAATCTTTTTTTTTGTAGTTCGGAGTAGTTTGAATAATAGATCAAGTGAATAGTAATTGAATTGGTTGGAGAGATAGAATTCAAAAGAAGTATAGTTTTTTCTTCATAGTACATATGGATTCCTCTTGAGTCTATTTTCACCTTTCTAAGTACATATGTTTATTCTGTTAAGTCTATGTTCCTTCTCCCCTTGACCCTTCAAAGTTCAACCTCAACTTCCTTCCTTAGACCTCAACAGAAAGCTGCGGAATTGCAATAGCCAACTCGTAATAGGCAAAGAGGAGGGCCTTGGGTTGAGGTCAACACATTATTTTTTGAGCAACTGAATCTTTCAAGTGTTATCCCTAGCTGGAAGAGCAAAACTGCCTCTCTGCTTGTAATTCATTTGGCATTTGTTGTATTACGTACTGTTTTATCTCTTGTAAGTGAGGGGACTCTTGACCATGTCCCTTAACTTACCCCTTGATTATCTGAAATGAATGCATCTTTCATCTTGACAACATTGAGCTTTGTAGTGGGTCGCTAGCCTAGATGACCAGATTGTATCCGCATTGGTCAGGGGAGACAACATTCAGTTTTTCTCCTGGTAAGTATTGGATTCTTCTGCTGGTCATGCTTCCATCCTCACTTCTCTATTCCTGGATTATTTTTCCACATATGTTGTAAATTGCATTATAGATGTCAATATCAGTTCCAGCAACTTATACAAATTTGACGCTGTCTTACCTACAATGCGAGCTATGGCTTGCTTACCGCACTTGGCTCACAAATCACATTCATGACCTCTACTTATGAGATACAACATTTTATGTGATCAACACCCTGGATGATCGGATTAAAAATGTGGATGAGCTCATAACAGTGCAAAATGCAGTAGCTCACTCAGTGAGATCTACAGTGATCTCGCCAAACCAATCTTGGATGTGTTGCTTTACAATTGGTAATTCAGTAAGGATGTGGGCGCAGAAGGATTGGATGGATTGATGGTGATTGTCCAGGAATCAGCCACTGTTTGTGTGTCAATTCATCGTGCAAAACAACCTTTTTTGCAAGCCTTGTCCAATTAACGTTAACCTTTTTTTCAACTACAGTCCACAGAAATTGGAGTGTGAGTTTCAATTCACACATCCATGTCTAATTGAGAATTCCAAATAGGTCTCTTGGTTTGTCCCACAAATCACATGAGATTGAGAAAAATGCCATTGAGCGCTCTTATCTTGGCCTTATCAAACATATCAATTGGGTTTACAAAATTTGGCTATGGTGGCGGATGATTGAGGATGGAATCATTGAGGGTGCGGTGTAGTCTGGGCCTTATGATTTGCAGTATACCGGTATTTTTCAACTTGGATCAGGTCAACATGAGCAATCTTGTGACCTCTGCAAAGGGGAATGATGATGACATGGGAAGTAGGACACAAGCCTTTGTGACCAACGTGAGTTCAGCTACATTTCATTTGGTATTGTGAACTTTCTAACATATTGGATATTGAACTATCAGTGTTAGATGTTGTTATCAGCTTCTGATGCGCTTGGAGGGGACAGTTACTCAAGAGAGAAAGACAGCTAGGTTTGTATTGTTTGATTCATTTGTGGCTTTTCTGTTGGGAAAAAATGATGTGTTTACTGATTGCAGTTTATGATTTTGAGATACTCAGTGGACAGACATTTGTGAGATCTTGAGAAGGAATCAAAACAAAACTCAAGTTGTTGGGAAGAGAATAAGGCTATTTTTACCAACATCCACTCCTCTGTTGTAAAAAAAATGGACAACATGGAAAAAAGATATTCTCAACTGCAACCAGCTTTGAGATTCACTCAATGACTCACTCTTACAAATGAAGGGTAGAGACATTCCACAAGTAAGCTCCAAGCATTTATCTTTCCAGTTTTGTGAATTTTGAGGAATATTGGTTGCAGGTATTACTGGATCTTAGCCAGCAAGTCATGAATCTGAGGGAGCTGGAGGAGACAAATCAAGAAAAAATGAATCTGCCATAGGTGAAAATCCCATTGTTGCTCAAAACATCACAGCTGAATTACAGAGAGAACTTCTTGAACCACTTTACCAAAAGATGAACTCCTTGGAGACATTAATAGATTTTGATAAGGTATGTGATCAATTAATTCATGACTCTATCCCTTTGTTGACCTTACTCTGCCTAACATGAGAAATATTTGATACTTACCAAGATTTTCAATCTATAGTCAAGATTGACAGGATCTAACAATAAGAGTCCTCTATCTCTTGGTTCAAAGTGAAAACACTCAACCTTCCTTTATCCCTGTTTTGCTAATTTTTGATGCCATATAGATTGCTGCAAGAAATCTAGGACCATTGACACCAACAAATTCTATCACATCTGCTCTCTCAAATACTTTTCAAGAATCCCTCATCAATGAAGTATTGATGAAATCAGACAATTTAGATTCCAGCACTGAAACACAGGTTCTGTCTAAGCGGACAAAGAGATATGAACAAGTGGGTAACATCAATTTGAAAAATCCCACCCAGATTTGAACTGATATCTTGCTGGATTAGAATAACTTATATTTGTAGCACACAACATCCATAATTTCCGTGGCCACTTCTCAATCAAGGCTCTCGGCAAGAAGAGGTTATAAGGAGCATATCATAAGCTAACCATCTGGAATACAGGCCACAAGCCAGGCTCCTACAAGTCAGTTGCTAAGCAGCTCTAGACATACTGAGAGAAACAAAAGGACAAGATTTGTGTCTGGATGCACATTCAGATCACTTTACAAGGGTGTGTGCATAAATCTGAAAAATCTAATGTACTGATTTTGTGCAACAAGAACAACTGACTGCTTATTTATATGAATGATCATGATCTGAATTAAATTAAGCTACTCATTAACAACTATAGAACTCCACATCAGACATCAAACACTACCAATGACCATCAGACACTGGGATTCACTCAGAACCAGCAGATGGAAGGGGGACATTGAAAGCCTAAAAAGTGGATCAAGCCAATTGAGATTGAGTGAGTCAGACCCAGATCAAGTTTTAAGGCGTACAAAGATGACTTCTGTCAAATTTCAGAGAATTTGACAGAAGGTTTTGCAGAACAACAGATACCAAAATTTTGGTGTGATCTGTTGTTCTGTTGCTCTGTCTGTCTTGATACTTTTAACAAACAACAGATCCCGCCAAATTTTGGTATCTGTCATTCTGTGAAACCTTCTATCAAATTTTTTGAAAATTGACAGAAGGCATCTTTGTACCCCCTATTTGAGGAAGCAGAGAGATCAGATGGATGATGATGTCAAGGATGATGATCAAAACTTGGTTAGTAGTCACCGTAACATATGTGATCAAGAGAACTTTGATGCTACTCAACCAATTGTTCTTCCGCTGAATAATTCAAGAGCATTGCAAGACCACTTTCAACTTGTTGCAAATGTGACCAGATCCAAGCTATCATTCCCCAGCTCTCCAACACAAGCATATCTCAAAGCACTTCCTGGACTTTCTAATTGATCTGCCCCACTTGGTCCAGCTGCTTCCTATCTCATAAACCAGAGTCTAGTCACCCCGTCATGGGAGGAGAACTAAACTACACCTGAAGGTTTTTCTGATTATTGAATTCAAAGGCTCAGGCAAGGTCTTCCATTTGTAGGATTCAGATCTGCATTAAAGCTACAGCAGCCACATGCTTCTGAGTGGAATTGCCAAACCTTGGCCTTCTGCATAGAAACTTTTGACCACATGTTGAATGTGACTGGAGAATACAATATGCACTTCCACATAAATTGGACAGAATTTACAGCATCAAGGATTAAAGAACTAGTCTAAATACATTTTCATTATTTTATTTCAACCCAAAGAGCTCACATGAAAGAGAAAAACAAAATCCAGGATCATCAACAGCAGGAACGCTGGAGAGCAAGACACATCAGAATCTGTTTGTATGATTGAAAGCTCCAATGAATTGTGACACATGACTGATAAAGCCTTTGTACTTTATGTAGTTATCTCGACGGTGTCTGCAAGCTTGCCTTGCCTCTCCAAGACTGTGTCCATACACCAATCTATTCATGGATGAGTGTCTTTGAAGTGATGAATCAGATCCTGATGTTCTTGAAGAGGATAGTGTCCGGCACACTCCAATATATCACTTTGAGCTTGCAACATGTTGAGCATTTTGATGCAACCTATTGGAAGTCAATGCAAAATGAAATTCCAGTGCCCAGGAAGAAAATCAGCTAAGTGTATGAAGTGGCTGATAGACCCATCCAAGACCTCAGGCAGGTGGCTGGTTGGATTACCCCTTGATTGTGTGGATGAGAGGTTCTTGATGGGAATTGGGCCCAAGGTCACACAAGCACTCAAATTGAGGCAGGAATCTTGCCAAGATGTTCCTGTACTTCTGTCTTCTCACGGTTAGCATCTCACTCCACACTGAAAATAATTATACATAACTAGTTCAAATGGGGCTTACTGTCTGTGTTGAAATTTACAAAGGAAGATTGATCATCCTGGAGTGTAATGTGATCATATTAATACACCTTTGAAACAAAACCAGGAAGAATATTCCAGAAATTAGAGTGGGATTTTTGATGATTGAATTTTTGAATTGAGAAAAAGATTGATAATGAGGTATTTTCTGTTTTTGTTATTTGTTGATGATACCCATTGTGTGCAGCTCAGTGGAAGAGAAGTGGGATCCTGGTGCCAAACCCACACTTCATTATGTCAAATTGTTCCTATAGCCAGATGAGTGTTGTGTTACGGACCAATGATATGGTAAATTACACAAATCACACAGAGAGCCACAACTAAGGCAAAGTATTGAAGTAACAGAGTGATGAAAGGAAACAAGGTGAAAAGGATTGGATCTTCATAAATGAGGATACAAGCAAGACAAGTGATTTGAAAAGATAGGAAACAAAGCAATTCTAGCTAAAGCTAAGAGGTACAAATACAGAAAGATGGGAAGAAGTAGATGGCTTGTGTACTATATATCAGTTGGGAAGTGATACGACAAATGTTTTTTTGATATTCAGGCAGTGCATCAATGGCTGTAAGTGAAGATATTACCTGCATCTTGAGGGGAAAAAGGAAAAGATTGGGGTGAGTATTGATAGGCCAAGTGAGACAGTAAAACTGACACACATCTTGTAGAACAAGGGATCAGATAGCTGTGGTTGCTATACGGTGGTATCACCTGATGGTTGGTCGTGGCAAAAGTGGTCCCTTCAGTGGGTCATGGGTTTGGGATGGAGGTTTTTATCAGAGCTTAGTTGCATTCAAGTCCTTTCAAGGATCAACACTTCATACATACCACAATTGGGCAAACATCATCACACCATCCCAATTTGTCCAGTTGGTAGGTGTATCTTGTTTGATATTGTATCTCCATCTTAAATTCTGATATTTTATCTGAAATCCTGGTCCAGGTAGCAGGTGATCAGGAAGTGATCATGCTCCCACCATTTCTAGTGGATTATGACCTTAGCCTCATACCAGCATTGCAAAACTTGGCTATTGACAATTGAAGGCAAGGTTCAATACTGTCAAGGGGTAATTCAGAGGAGTGCACCAGTGATCTGTGATTTGAGGGTCTTTGTGATGGGTTGCCTCAATTCTTACATGATTTGTGAAATCAAGATGGTTGTTGGGCCTCATGTAGAGAAATAGAGAAATACCAATTTTTAACCACCTCCAAGCTTGATGCAATACAACACGCAGCCTACATGTCAGAAGATCATCTCATAAACATTGTCAGTGAGGTATCCAACACTCAGAGTGTGATGAATTACTATAGGATGTTATTGTGTTCAACTGGCCCCAATGTAATTTCCCACTGTAAGCTAGACAAGAAGCTACTCAAAGAGTTACAAGAACAGCACAAGCTTACGAAGTCCACATCAGAATGTATGTACAAAGAGGTTGCGGTCCTGTGGGCACTAGTATCTGAGGCAATGTGAGTGTCAGACCTTTGAAATTAAAGCGGAAAATTTTCAAAAGATCCGCTAACACACAAATAGCTTCATTTTTTTACCAATTCAAACCCAGTAAATGCACTTGCAACTTCACAGATGCCATTGCCACCAGGGATGTACCAGACCCCACTGGAAACACATCCGAGTAATTCTCTTTGTTTTGCTTTTCTTATGGCCGGATACTCCAGCCTTTTGGTCAATGTATTTTATTAGAGAACCTATGTACTAGGGTTTTCTTGCAAGATATGGTGAAAGTGAGATGTGGTAGATACAATACACTTGTTTTCAAAAAGCTTGTCACAACTCCACTGCCAAATAGCTTGAGCTGTTTTGGAAACTTTGGACAAGTGTTTAAAATTACTGTCCATAGTCAGGAGATGAGGTCTTGAAGCTCTAGTTAATTGAACGTGAAGTTGAGGCTGTCTCCTTTGGTACCTAGTGGCACATGTGAGCTGACTACCAAAGGTTGCAAATAACCAAATTAGAGCGGAGCTCAAATACAGCTAGCTTTTTAATATTTGCACGGACCAAATTTTTTTTTAAGAGAGGTCAAATGTTCCAATTTTTTAAATCAAAGAATATATTTATTTTATGTAATTTTTTTGACAAAAAATTATTCAAAAATGTTCAGACTCAATAGTGTTATCAAGGTGTAAAGCAGTAAGTATGGTGAAACACTGTGCGGATCCCAGTTTGGGTGTGGGTGTTTACTTACTTAGCGCAGTGCTGTCACAGTCCCTGGCAGGGGGGTTTGTGTGTCAGTGGTTGCCAACGACTAGAACCCTCAAGTGAGCTCATGCAGGCGTGACAATAACATGTGGTCAAATGGCCAATTTACACACATCTAATTATTTCCACACCAATGGTGGTGATGCTCATATAGATTCATTATGTTCAACCGAGAAAGGAAGAAGAATATGAGAACATAACACATAATAAACCTAAACCCTACATGCTCATCACATGTTCCAGCTAAGGAGACTGAAAATTGTAATACAACACATCTTTCATCTTGCATATCATCACAAGATGTTCAATGACCTCAACCAAATTGAATTCAATGAGCTAAAGCCAGCAAAATTGCCAAACAATGCAAGGTCCAACTCTACTCTCCATTCAAAGAAATGTCACACTTCACAAGATAATGAAAAACCTTCAAGCTCAATCATAGGACTTACCAACTGTTTGTCCATCATGGAGAGTTTTTCACTCAAGGAGATTCAGGATGTTTCCTGAGAAATGCAATCTTTTAAAACAAGAGATCACTAACATTAGAGATGGTGATGTACCCAAGGAAAAACCCTTAGCTGACCAGATAATCAACAACATGAAATCACACTTATCTCATCTAGAAGACAAGTTCATAAATGTCTCAAAGTTCTACAAAGACTTACACATAGTGGACAAGAATGTGAAGAACATGCAAGATGACCTGGCGTGTCACTTTGAGTCTTGGTCATTCAATGAGTCAAAAATGAAAGACAGCATGAGACTGGTCAGGGGCACATACTAAAATCTCTTCTCTCTATCATTTGATCCACCGGACAGTTTCTTTGACTCCCCAGCAGATTTCATGAATTCTCCTCAAGTGAAGAAAAAACCGGAGTGCAATGGGGATACTACATCAATCCATGATTTATCCAGACTTTCATTGAACTATCTAAATTTCAAACACACATCATGAGGTTGTGGTTACAAAAAACTCAAGGTACATCAACCAAAGTTTATAATTTCCTGCTGATCTCCGGGTGATTGACATGATTTCTTCAACGGAATATGATGATACCATGCTTCAGCTGCCACTTCAAAGAGAAAATGGATTGCGTGGACTACAAAAAAGTGATTGAGCTTTTGAGGGATGCAAGAGGTAGGACATCAAACAATAACAGCTTGAAAGGTGGTTTATACTGAATCAATCTGTGTTTTGTTCTGGCAGAAGAGTGAACCAGGGCTTTGTCTGCGCGGGAGAGATGTGAGCATTGGAGCTTATGAACTCAACACTGTCAACATGTCTTCACACACCATGCACTCACAGAGTTCCAGAAGGTCTAGAGAATCCACCATTAAATCCGCATATCACTATAAAGCAATGGAAGAAGCCATCTGGCACATTTTTTTGGCTCACAGTTCTTTTAATCACAGCCATCAACATATACATAACCATTGGAGCAAGTATCATGTATAGTGGGGCCAACTCTATGTATCATTTCGGCAACTTAAAGGCTAGGCATGTATGATGTGAATGGTATTACAAAAGAAATATGGGATATGTAGGATGCTTTCATTTGAGGAGATCACCAGTGGCTTGCTCCATAGCAATCCTGAATTGGGTAAAGCTTTTGTATATGCATGAGCTCCATTTGTTTTTATTTCGACTCAAAATGGATGTAGTATTGGACTCTGAAGATTCTACAACACTTCAATCATTTCAATGCTTGAATTTGCTTACAAGTTCAATGCATGAATAGTTTCTGATGAAATTTTCTTGACTTACTCTTTGTTTCATAATGAGTTTGATGGCATTGCTTATGAAGTTACAAACTCTCAATCAGATTCTTTTCAGTGTATTGACTATAAAATGAAATGCTGATGAAGGAAAAAGTTCACAAGTTGAGATTACATGCTTGATTGTAACAATCTGACTTGTAAACCTATCCAGAATAGTTGAACAGCCAAGGGTTATCAATGAATGTAAACTCTTCAAACTAAATGATCTTTGGAATGAAGTGAGAGAAACATTTCAATCAAATAAGGAAAACCTCAGACCTTGCTGATCAAGGTTTCCTTGTATGTTGAAATTGAAAAATTAAAAACAGCAAATATCATGCACATAGAAACATGAAATTGTGGAAAGTGGAATTGGAAATTGTAGCCAATGAATTGAAAGTAAAAAATCAAAAGCTTAAGCTTAAAAGTTGTAAATTGATATTTGACAATTCAAGCTCAAAAATTGAAGCTTCAAAATAAAAAGTCTAAAATTAAAAGTCAGAAATCAGAATACAAGTGTTAAAAGTCAGAAATTTGACATTACAAATTAAAAATCAAAAATCAAAAACTAAAAGGAATTAAAGATCAAAAAATAAAAACTTCTTCTTTGACCTTGACCTGGACTTCAACTTTAACCTCCAATCCGACTGACTTTGACCTGAACTTCCAACTCCGCTGTGACTTTGACCTCCAATTCAACTTCAACCTTCACTTTGACCTTCACCCCACTTCTGAACCCCACTTAAAAATTAAGAAATTCAAAAATTCAAATAAAAAATCAGAGATTCAAAATTGAAAATTGATCAAACAGAAACTCAAAACTTGAAGAGAACTGTATCTTTGAAGCCTAAGCCAAACCACAAACATTGTGTTTGACTTAAAACTTGAAAATACAAATTGAAACTATTCAAAATCATTATTCCAAAATTTGAAAATCAAAATTGTGGCCTTTGAGTTGGATTTGGACTTCAACTTGCAAGTTGGACTTCTACTTCCAATTCCACTTGGACTTGAACTTTGAATACCACCTTAATTGGGTTTGACTTTGATTTTCTCCATTCTCAAAACTCTTGACTGCAAACTGATTCAATTTTTTGAATTCTAAGAAATCTTGCCACAAATGATCCAGTTTGGGAAGTCACTTGCTTTCAAGAACGTGTTGCCAAACTTGAACATGTGGCTTGTTGCTTGAAAGGCCGGCCCAATCCTAAACAGCAATCCACAGGTGGAAGTGGTCCTAGAGATCAGACTTTCAATCTGGGTAGTCCAAGGGGTGCCTTGGAAAGCCCCACATATGCTTGCCCGCACTTGCTATCTGTCAGCAGCGTGCCATGGAGTCCAACACCAACTGAAATTCAACTATGCTTGATATTGCACAGGGGGAGTGTTGTCCAAAACCAATAGTTCTCAACCCAACTTGCCCTCTGGCAACCCTGTCACCCATCATCTTCAACCACTTCATGTGACTTATCCATTCAGAGCAGAACTTGGAAGCTTCAATAGTGATTCAGATACAGGAAGTAGTTACTGTTATAGCTTAATGAATGTCCCCATTCTTTGTTTTGTAAGTTGTCCACCCTACATGACTAAACTAGGCAACATAATCCAAGATGATTGTGACAGTGATAACGGGCAAAAGGTCTTCTTGGTGAATGTATCCACAGGTTTGCTCATACAACAGGTCAGTTAAGCACTAATATGTCACATGCTCACTTGTTCACTATCTTATCATTATGGTCTCACAATCTGATCTGCTCTCTATCCCGCCAATGCAAAAACAAGTTCCAGTCTTTATATTTGCAACCAACAACAGATCCCGCCAAATTTTGGAATTTGTCATTCTGTGAGACCTTCTGTCAAACTCTCTGAGATTTGACAGAAGTCATATTTGTACACCCTAAATGTGAAAGCAAAGTTGGTGTGCATTTGAAGAAGTCGAATTTGACTTCAAGATCAAAATCAAATGAAATCTGACTTCAACTTCACACCAGTGATTTTGTCTGCAACATATGTGAGTACAAATTGGAATACACAATCTGGAGTTGTACGATTTTGATTTAGAAAAACATCTTTTTTGAACAAAATAACCTTGTAAACGACTTAACTTCATGGTCACTTGATTTCCAGTTAGGATTTGCCTTTGACTTCTTTGACCGCTTCAACCACTTCAACCACTTCAATGACTTCAACTTTTTTGACCTCTTTGACTCTTCTGGTTTCTTTGACTTTGACTTTGATCTCTTTGACTTTGATCCCAACTTTGCCTCAGCTTTGACTTTGACATGGACTTTGGCTCCTGATCTGGAATTTGCATTCAGATCTGGAATTTGCATTCAGATCTTATAATATTTAAATCAAAAGTAAGAGAGTCATCAAAAAGAAACCAAATGAAAAAGGCTGAATTTTGGTCAATTCCAACAGTGATAGGAGCTGATCTGATGGGAACTATCGGAGAACAAATTCAGATCCACAATGTCAAGTCCTATGGAGTTATGTCAGAATTCAACATGGACTAGAATCTCCCTGGAATAATTTGTATTCAAATCTAGCCCTGAACTCATAGGGTTGGGTCACAGCCCTACATTGAAATTGAATTTGAAAAACCAGAATTCGATCTCAAATAATGTACAACTCAACTTTGCTGCGACTTCAAACTCCAACATCAAAAGGTGTGGCCTGCTCTAAATCATTTTGAGGCAGGCCCCCTTCATGAATCCATGTTTGACACCTTTTGACATTCACTTTGAAATCCACTTTGAAATCAGACTCAAAATCAAAGTCATCTCTTTCAACAACACTGATTTTGACCTCAAGTACATCACCACTTCATGATTACCTCTGAACTGGAACTCCAAATTGTATTGGTTCTTGAAATTGTATGTAGAAGCACTCCTCAATTTTTTGATGTCACCTTACTGTGCGGACCCACCTTACTAACCTTGTTGCTTGTTTCCTAGCTTTTGTCCATGCCTCAAAACGTTCTGCTTGGAACTCAAGCTCAATGGGAAGCAGTGGCAGCAAGGGATGTGGTAAGCATTGAATTCCCCCTTACATCACCATCACCAATGTTTGTATGTACTGTGACAGTTGGCAAAGAAACCAAATCAAGAGATTTCCAGGATGATTGAAAGATGTGCCCAGAAGACTTATTAGGATGAGTTATTGAAGTGAATTGAAGTAATTATGGGAAGAGTTGATGATTTTCTACTTTGCTTTTACGTCAAGTCGCCCACTGACTGCTGAGGTGAGTGAGCGCTGAGTTGGTTTTTTTTTAATTTAAAATCAGCATTTCAATTTGCAACTCAACTTGTCACTCAACTGATATCTTATCGACTTCTCATCGTCATCAACTCCCAAATACCATCCATCCATCAACCAATCAACCAGTCAAATACCCAATCACTGTATAACTCAATCATTCAACTAACAATGTCATGTGAAACACCTCAAAAAGATCAACTTCCTTCATCAAATGTTCCAATGAAGATTTTAGGCAAACCAGATTGTTTAGATCTCATTTTATTGGCTAAAACTGCAAAATCAGAATTAAGACAAATAGCTCAAAAAAGTGTAACAAAAAATAAAAGAAAATTCATTGATCTTGATCAAGAAGATTCTCAACCTTTGGTTGGAGTAAGTCAACTCATTTTTCAAGTTTTCATTAGACCAAATTTTTTTATCAACACTAACCTTTTTTTATCTATACGTATGTTCTTGATCTTGGAGCACCAAGTTAACCAATCTTTGAACCCGCTTTAGCTTCTACAACTACAAAGTGTTCCATTCAATGTCAATCTTCTGGTCCAGCCCCTCATCACTTTTTTAGCTAAGTTGCTTGGTAAGTCTTTGGTATCACTCAACTTGAGTGATCAAAGTGAAGCAAGCAATAAGCTTTCACAACAATCTCTGGCATTATTCACATGGAAGGACGGATCTTTGGTACAACCTATGCAAGAGTGAGATCCAGTCCTGTTAGATGAAATCTTTTTAACCAATTATTATGTACTCGAAAGGCTTAACAGTTTATTGGAGCCTAGTCGATCAATTATGCTGACAGAATGTGGTGGTGCAACGATTGAGGAAATGCAAATTGAAGCTCATCCTTCTTTTGAGATTATGGTCACAATGAATCCAGGTGGTGATCTTGGTAAACGTAAACTTTCACCTGCACTTCAAAATCAGTTGGAGGAGATCTGGGCTCCACTTGTGTCTGAACCGGCTGCTTGGGATGCTATCTTTGCAACTCAATTATCAACTCAAAATCAGCTTCAGATTGGATCCCTTCTCATTGAGAATGCTTTGTCAGTTTCTTGAGCTTTTTTTCACAGTCCCCAGCTTCAGTTCCGTATTACTTTGGATTGAATTAATCCTAGACATTGGATTTGGCTCTTACGGGGCATTTCTACCAATCAAATCATACTCCGTTTATGACTGAAATTTTGAGGCTTATCCTTACATTGATTCTAGCCACTTGCTGTCCGACCGTCTCAGTATTACCCGAGGAAATTACGCGACCTGGTGTTCTTCAAGGCTCATCTTCCAAGGCTTTGAAGCAAACTAATCATTGGAAAACATTCTTAAATCCTACTCTTCTTTCAATATTTGTAGATGCGGTCAATAGCGCAATTATTGAGATGGCGAGTCATGTGTTTTGGGAATCAACAAGGGAAGTATGTACAGCCAAATTAGAAGGAAAACGACTGGCAGATCAGCAGTCTCAGCCTGTCTTTAGCATGGATTTTCATGAGATCAAAAATTATCTCTGGGCGGATGCAACAGGAAGAGAGCTAACAATTTGAAAAAATATGCACCTTGTTCCTAGATGTTCTCCTCTACACTTCATAAAGGTAGTAAGGTGTTTCGAGTTGATTGATTCCTCGAAATTGAGTCGATATGACCTCATCTTTACACCTTGCATCATGACCCAGATAATCCTAATAACTTGAGTACTTGCGGACTGGCTTCCCGGCCCAGACTCACCTTTTTGACAAACTTCATCCGAGTCGGGCTCATCTAATTCGGCGTCTATCTGTTCAAGGTCCATGTTCAGCATCTGTCGCATGGATTTACGTAGCCACATCAAACGCTGTTCTGGAGGAGCCGAGTCTGGCATAGTCTTCACGCTTTTACGCTGGCCATATAGAACTTTGAGATGAAATCGAAC